TTGGGCTTATATAGGGCGACCCGTGGACTCCTAAAGTTCGGGGCTTAAGCTTTGTGCTTTAGTTGGGGGTTTTGGCACCCTAATATAAACCCTATAAACCCTATAAGCCCTAAATCCTGAGCTCTAACCCCTATAGAGTACAAGATAAGAGTATGATGCTAGACGAGCATATAGACCCGATACTAGAAACATTGAACGAAAGCAAGAATCCTCAACTGAGCTCTGTGTGCTGCCTGGCCTGCCTTCCTATGCACAGCACCCAGGTTTCAAGCAGGTCAGTTATACACATTGAAGACGTTTGCACATTAACTGGGTTGAGGTGGCAGCCATGTATCAGTCCCGACATATTACCCAAGCAACCACATAACAATCCAAAACCAATCCCAGAATTCTACAGAGGACGGGATCAGGGCTTATATGTAAAAGTCAGAGATTTTATTAATGCTTTATATTTATATAGGGTTTCCATAATAAGGGTTTCCAAGGAGGTTTATTTCCAACAGGGTTTCCCGAACCAAACCCAAGGTTGCACAGTGGGTGGGGCACTTGGCTGGCGCGGCCCTGCGCCCATCTTCCATAAGTTGATGCAGCCCCGCGGCATGCTGCGTGCACCTGCAGGAGGCCAATGTTGTCATAAGCAGTAGTGTGTCCAACACATGCAGACGAAGAGGAGGGAGATGTCAAGAAGTCTGTGGTTGCCACTTGCTAACATATCACCAGTGCAGTCACTCAGCACGCAGTTCAAGTTTTGTGCAATCCAGCGGCGCCGACTGATACACGCGGGCTGGACAGGAATGGCTTGAAAGCTCCCCAGGAGTTTGCACGTGTGCGTGTGCACACATGCACAGAAATCTAGAAGATAACCTAGGCCGCACGTGTTCACACATGCTCGGCCCCTTTCAAAATGCGACTGTGCACTGTGCACACTCGGCTTTGGCACTGCAAATTGCAGCCATGTGCTGCCTTGGCAGCAGCTTCAGCACCCCCGTCAACGAACAGCTTACAGCTCTTCGATTGCCATCTTGAGGAACTTGTCCACCTTGTTTTCCAAGAGTTCCTCGTACTCTTCGAGAGTTTCCATATCCGCATTGTTCGATAGAGCACGGTAGGCCAGGTTGTACCAGGGTTCCTGCATGCTGTACATATATATATACATAGATATTACATATATATATATATATATCTACATACATACATATTTACATGTGTATGTGTGCATGGGGAAGGTGTCACTTACATATATATATATATATATATATTCACACCCTCTTTTTCTCTCTCTCTCTCT